TGTCTTTTTGTTGCTTATTACACTGAATTGGTAGTCTTCCCTCCTGATTGAAAGACCCTAACCTGGAGATCTTCTTAGCCTTGACCTTGGGGAAGTGAGAGCCAATTAATGACTGGAAGGAATAGATATGGTGACAACAAAGGCTCAGTTATTAGACGGTCCATCTGAGTATTGGGACAGTCGCCCTGTCTTCCTACTTGTTCCTCACTGTCCTTCTTTGTACTAATTCCCAAGAGCTAATCATTTCCGAGTCAGAATGTAAATTACAGTATAGTTACATTCAATTCAGAGTTGCACCCAGAATGTCTTACTTATTTAGTGAGAGAAGGAAAGTAAGATGATATTAGACCCTTTCTGTCACGGATAGGAACTGAGAATATGTACATATGAGTGTGTGTGTGTGTACATATGTATAACCTTTCTATCAAGTGTAGGGACTGATAAATATGCATATATGTGCATATATACATATATGTGTGTATACATCCTTTCTATCAAGGTTAGGAACACACACACTTGTGTGTGTGTGTGTGTGTGTGTGTGTGTGTGTGTGTGTGTGTGTATGCATGTGTACAGCAGATCTCTTCCACTGGTTCACAGTGATGGAATATCATCCTGTGTACACTACGACCTCTGTGTCATGTATCTGAATTTAAGTTTGACCAAATATAATCCCTTATTCTTACAAACCAGCTACTAAGAAACTTTCCATGAGATAAATATGAAGCTATTGGCTTTTAAACAACAATTTTTTAAGATTTATTTTTATCTTTTTGTTTATGTGTATGTGTGGGGGTGTGAGCGTGTGAACGCAGGTACCAACGTAGACATGTGCTTTTAACATCCCTTCATCTCCAAGAATTCCTTTTTTAATATACTGATAATGTAGCATTTTTCCATCACTATAAACATGCTTGATTTATTTTTCTTAAGAATGCAAATATCATAAAAGTAGTCCAATTTTTTAAAATAACCTCCAAATTGAGTCAGTTTTAAGAATTTACTGAATCTTTGGGTAGTGGCTTCATAAAGTTCTGGTGCATAAGAAAGTACCAGCAATCAGCTAGTATAAAATGATTACTGCCTATCTTAAAAGCAACTTGGGGAGGAAAGAGTTTATCTCAGCTTACAACTCTCTGGTCACATTCTATCACTGAGGGAAGTCAGGACAGGAACCTGGAGGCAGGAGCTGAAGCAAAGGCCATGGAGGGGTGCTACTTACTGGCTTGCTCCTCATGGCTTGCTCAGCCTGTTTTTGTATAGAACCCAGGAGCATCAGCCCAGAGATGTATGTTGGCCCTTCCCTGTCAATCATCAATCAAGAAAATGCACATACCCACAGGCTGATTAGGTAGGCAGTTTTCTCAGTTGAGGTTAGAGTCTTCCAAATGACTCTAGTTGTGTTTGGTTGACAAGACCCCAGCCAGCACACTGCCCAAAAGCAGTGAATTCATCGCCGGAGGACAGCTGCACTAGCTGAACCGGAGTGAGCCTGCCTCTGGGTTTAATTGAGCTTTGCTGAATCTAAGCGTTTAACACTCAGGAAAGTCACATCTTGGACCATGTTTACTGAAAGATCGTATGTCCAACGTAGAGACACTGGCGGGAATAGCAGACTTGAATACACTGTAAATTCACAAAATTACTTCTCTCCTGTCCCATGTGAGTGTCCCTGGAGTGCCAGTCAATTGTATAGGTCTGTCCCCTTTCTCAGGCGCTGTTACAACCACAACTAACGTGCAGGAAGAGGCAGGTTTCCTTGGACGCTCCCACAGTTCATGTGAAAAGACAACATCTGAGTCTCTTACATCCTCCTGTTTCCTTAGAAAGTGCAGGCTTTTTGAGATAACTATCAAATTCGTGTTTTCTGGCCCACTTATGCCACACCCCACTGCTGAGTGCGGATTAAGGGAATGTGTGCACAGATACTCACGTCTCCCTCGTTTATTTGCAGACCAAAGATGAACTTTCAGCACTGGAGACCCACACTGCAGTCACAGTCAGCATCCTTCCTGCGTGGGAGGAGAGCCCCATGCACTGTGACAGGCAGGAGCAGGAAGGCCACCCAAGCCTCACAGAAGCCTGACTTACACTGACAGACAAGCTTTGGGTAGTTCTTTGCTCTCCCTGCACCTGCCAGGCTTATTTAAATTAAGTCCGAGTTGAACAAACCCAAATGCTCACCCTAACTGTAACCAATTTGCAGTGTTAAGTGTCTTTGCTGGTTCTCCTCCTTCCGTTAACAGGGAAGCAAAAAATACCCTTCGGGTGTAACATTTGATGTTTGCTACTCTGTACAGGAAACGGAGTGTGCTCTCTGTAGGATCTGATGGGAACTGTAGATTCACATTCCATGTACTAGGTGGGTAATCGGAATACAGGCTTTGTAACCTCTGAGTTTCTTAACCCATATACCTGGAAAATTATACTTCCTTGTTGGGTGGTTCAGAGAAGGCGGAGTGACTATTGCACGAAGTGTCTCAAGCACTCACTAAACGACAGTGCCGCATTTTGTTGGTTTGTTTGATGTATTCTGTGTTCCATCAGGGGAGGTGGCTCTTGTTTTGTCTGTCCCTCACGAGCCATTTGCGTTACCCATCCCCTGAAAGCAAACACCAGGGCTACAGTAGCCTGACCTACTTCTCAGTACCTCACACATTGGAGGTGAGGGGTGGGCAGTGGATTGCCCCCTAGTGGACATTTGGAGCTACAGACACATCTGGGTGTGACCACTTGGAGGGGGAGGTTGCTGTTCCTGCCCTCTAGCGGATAGAGAACAGGGCTGCTGCTAAGTATCCTACAGTACACACAGAGGTCTTCCCACGCTTGAAGATTTCTCCAGCTCCGAATGGCAGCACTGCAGGGACCCTGACCAATGTAAGCACAACACGTTCTAGAGACAGGGAAGCCATAGCAACCATCAAAATATCCACTGTAAATACTTAACTGTCCATTAAGAAAAGTAAGCATAAATATCATAATCATTACACACAGCTTGCCTGCTAAGTGGGTCTGGGTGGAGGTTCTGATTTTGTTTGTTTTGTCTTGTTTTGTTACATGGAGTGATGGCACCAATGCTGTATGTCACTTGTCTGGAACCTTCAATGGCTTAAATGTCCAATCCCTCGCGCTAAAAATCTTGCTATAGGTGTGCACACTTCTACAAGTTGATCACAGTTAAAATCAGTGCACTCTGTGTACATTGCTGAAGAATGTTTACTTGTATATATACACTCCAGTGCATAAAACTATTATTTAAAAAAAATCTGTGACAGAATCCAAACAAAGGCAAAATAAAGTTACCTTTCTTCAGAAACAGCACCATACAAACTAAGTTTCTCTACCCCCGCCCCGTTTTTATCAGGTACTATGAGTTTTAAGAATCAAAACTTTAAATTTTTTTTTTAATTATCACAACTAATTCAGAAACTCTGGTCTCCTTTTAGCTCACGGTAGTGAGCTCATTCTATTCTGATATCTGTCAGGTTCTCATTTATATAATGATATTTTCAAAGGCCCAAACCAACACCCAGACCAGGAAGATCTGAGGGTAGAAGCAAGCAGGAAAGAAAAGCCTGCCAGAAGGGATGGGACGTGACAACAGCCAGCACTCTGCTGCCTCCTGCAGTTTTTTGAACAATGAACACACAACTTTCTTACTCTGTATGCAAAAAAAAATGCCCCCCAAACCCTTAACTTGGTTTATTTTATATTGTTTAATTAGCAGAAAACTTCTGAATATCATCCACAGGACAATCTATTTCCATAAATAAGAATTGTAGATATCATTTGAACCATTAACAACCTACTGGTTCTGCATAATTTAAAAAATAATATGAAAAAGAAGTGAAACCAGGGGCTGAGGCAAGAGGATCAAAGATCAAAACCAACCTGAGACATCTAGTGAGTTCTGGACCACTCTGGGCTACACAAGACAGACAAACAGACAGGAAGGAGGGGGAGGAGAGAGGGAGAGATCGGTTGATTGGCATTGGTGTCTTTATCTCTGTACAACTTAGGTTTTTTTCCCCACCGCCCCCCTCCCCCACAGGGTCTCACTCTGTAGCTCTACCTGTCCTAGAATTCACTATGTAGTCCAGGCTGGTCTTGAACTCACAGAGATCCACCTGCCTCTTTCCTCCAAGTGTCAGAATTAAAGGTGTGTGCCACTATGCCTAAGTTTTTGAGATAAGACCTCTCACTGAACCGGAAGCTTATTGATTCACCTAGGCTAGCCTAACCAATGAGCCTCAGCCTGTGTCCAGCCCACCCTCATCCCCTGCTCTGTGGTTGCAGGCCATGCCTGGCTTTTACGTACAGAGGATGCAAACTCAGGCCCTCATGCTTATGTGCCCGGCAGCTTACTAACTGAGCGATCTCCTCAGCCCTAAGAGAGTCTGTTTGGAAAGATTTGACAGCATAGGTAAGTCTGAGGTGCCAGTCAGGTTTCAGGGCTGACAAAGCAATAGCAAAAGCATTAGGTTTCTGCTTTGTGCCTAGTTTCATAGCCGATGCTTACAGCTGAGTCTGAAAAGAAATTTGAACTGAAGTTCTTGGAGTTCTGACAGAACCTGATGTATCCAACGCTCCCAGGACCTAGAATCAGCAGCTCTTAGAGAGCCATGACATGACCTCTGCAAAGGCTGCGAAGGAATGTCTGAAATCCACAGACTCTAAAGCCTAACCTTGACTGGCAGGGCAAGAGAAACGTTAAAGGAAGCAAATTAAAGTCAAATGAGTGGACCAAAGTTTCTGGTTGTTTGTTTGGGTTGCTTGCTTGCTTGCTTGCTTGCTTGCTTGCTTGCTTGCTTTTTGAGACAAAGTTTCTCTGTGTAACCTTGGCTATCTCAAGACTCACTCTATAGACGAGGCTCAGAGATCCACCTGCCTCTGCCCGTGGAGTGCTGGGATAAACAGCAGGTACCACTCCACCCCTCCACAGAGTGACCCAACTTAAAACAAATGGTGTATTTTAAAAATCTGATCAGCCTAGTGAAAAGTATGCAATAATAAAATTTCATTTTAATGTAAATTCATGAGCTATAGATACATAATGAATTTTAAGAAAACTACACGCTGGCATGTGCAGGGTTTTTCTACGTCCACAGGACAGTGAAGGGACACACTCCCGCTCTGTCAAAGGCAAAGAAGGCAAAGGTCTCAGTCTGGGCAAGTAAAGGTTCATCCATGTCGCTGTCAATTGCCAAGCTCAAGGCTTCGTCATGTACTGCAGAGACAGTAGCACAAGCCCTGCCTCAAGCAAGCGACAAGCCAGTGGGGACTGGAAGCACAGACGCATCCATGTGCAAACGTTTCTTTGTGTTGAGCCTGAGGCTTCGTCTCACCTCCATCTTGTGTTCACCCAACTCAAGGTATAACAGCTGCTAGCATTGAAAAGGTCCTTCTTCAGGAAAAGCTGAGGTTTCGATAAGTCTTTATAGGTGTGAAAAAGTCTGAAGTCCTTCCGCTCCAACTCCTTCAGGAGGCTGTACCAAAACCGCACCACGCTGCTCTCGCTGCCGCTGACCTCAAAACCAGGCCAGTGGAGATGAATCTCGAAGATGAGCTGGCCGATCTGCTCAAGGACATCCTCCAGAATAAGGTTTTCTAGAACTTTCCATTCTGCACTTTCCAGATCTGCCTTGAGAACATCAATCTGTAACAAAGCGATAAAATGAGACTTGATCACTCACTGTATCACCTCCATGTCATATTGTATCATATTGTATCGTGTTGTATGTATTGTATCGTGTTGTATGTATTGTATCGCGTTGTATGCATTGTATCGCGTTGTATGTATTGTATCGTGTTGTATGTATTGTATCGCGTTGTATGTATTGTATCGCGTTGTATGCATTGTATCACGTTGTATGCATTGTATCGCGTTGTATGTATTGTATCGTGTTGTATGTATTGTATCGTGTTGTATCATATTGTATCGTGTTGTATCATATTGTATTGTGTTGTATGTATTGTATCGTGTTGTATGTATTGTATCGCGTTGTATGTATTGTATCACGTTGTATGTATTGTATCGCGTTGTATGTATTGTATCGTGTTGTATGTATTGTATCGTGTTGTATGTATTGTATCGTGTTGTATCATATTGTATCGTGTTGTATGTGTTGTATGTATTGCATCGTGTTGTATCATATTGTATTGTGTTGTATTGTATCGTGTTGTATTGTATTATACCATATTATCAATCATGTCTACTTCTAATGGCAACAGGATATTTAATTTTTAGAGTTGGAAATCATTTCCAAGTAGCCAATTTTAAAATGTTATCAAATATTTTTATACAATATGTTTTGATCATATTCTTTCCCCTCCCTCAATTCCTTTAAGACTCTCCCCACTTCTCTCTTTCTCTCCCTCCCTCTCTCTCTCTTTCTCTCTCTCTCTCTCTCTCTCTCTCTCTCTCAAGATTTATTTATTTTATTTTATGTATGTAAGTACACTGTAGCTGTCTTCAGACACATAAGGGAAGGGCACCGGATCTCACTATAGACGGTTGTGAGCCACCATGTGGTTACTGGGAGTTGACCTCGGGAATTCTGAAAGAGCAGTCAGTGCTCTGAACCTCTGAGTCATCACTCCATCCCTCTCCCCACTTTTCTAATCGAGATTCAAAAAGACACTATTGCTTGTTTTCTCTTATATGTTGTTGCTAGCTTTTAAGCTTTAGATGTGTGTGTGTGTGTGTGTGTGTATGTGTGTGTGTGTGTGTGTGTGTTGGCTCAAATAACCAAGTAGCCATTTATGACATAGATTTCCAACCCTCTTTCATACTGTTAATGACTACAGGCAAGGAGATGCCAGCTGAGCATCACAGTGGACTCTCTGGCTTTCTGCCCAGTGTCAGTAGATGTCAAAGGAGGAAAAACCAGTGTACATTTGTCATAGAGCCCAATGCCCAACAAGCTTTCCCCATAACCTGTGTGTCACTGCAAGGAGCCCAGCCAAGTCCTGGTAGAATGGCAGTCACACAGAGGGAATGACAGAGGTCCCTGCCTGCCTGGTCATTCTCACAAGCATCATCCTCTAGAGGCTTCACTAGGAGTTTTTTTTGTTTGTTTTTTGTTTTTGTTTTGTTTTGTTTTTTGGTTTTTGGTTTTTTGAGACAGGGTTTCTCTGTGTAGTTCTGGCTGTCCTGGAACTCACTCTGTAGACCAGGCTGGCCTCGAACTCAGAAATCCGCCTGCCTCTGCCTCCCAAGTGCTGGGATTAAAGGCGTGTGCCACCACCGCCCAGCTTTCACTAGGGTTTGAAGCCTAAGAAAGAGATGTGGAGTTTCTGAGTTTTGGAATTATTATTCTATGATTTCTTTTAATTATATCCCAAGATAACATTCTAAAACAAAACAAAACAGACAACAAACCATGAAACATCTGTTGATTTGATTTGGTTTACTTCCTAAGTAAGATGGAATAAAGGAAGAAGATAGGATGGGAGAGATTATCTTTCCAGTTAATCAGGTTACGAGAGTCAGCTCCTTTCTGCTGGATTTGCACAAAATCTATTAGAATAATAGGGACTGAAATACGTCCTGAAAGAAATGGAAGCCGAGTGGGCGTGGCTTGGTGGCAGAGCACTTTCCTAGCTGACAGGCATGGGGCTCCTAGTCTCAATGATCAGCACCATAAAAGAAAAAAAGTCACCAAGTTACTAATATGTGCAAGACCCCAAGCTAAGAACTTCCTTTTGCAATGTCCATGTAATTACATATCAGCACTAATGAAAGCGTAATTCTGTTGGTGACTGTGGTGATTGGAATGCAATGCTCATATACTTGAATGCTTGGGCATCAGGGAGTGGCACTACTTGAGACACATTAGGAGGTGTTGGAGTGGGTGTGGCTTGTAGTGGATGTGGCCTTGTTGGAGGAAGTGTGTCACGGGGGTAGGCTTTGAGGGTTCAAAAGGCCAAGCCAGGCCCAGTGTCTCTCCCTTCTGCCTGCAGATCTTGAAGTAGAACTCTCAGCTACCTCTCCAGCATCTCTTTGGCCTGCATGCTGCCATGCGCCCTGCCATGATAACAATGGACTAAACCTCTGAAACTGTGAGCTAGCTCCAGTTAAATGACATATTTTATTAGAGTTGCTATGGTCATGGTCTCTCTCTACAATAACAGAACTCTAAGACAGTAACCTTAGTTACCATTTACGGAAACAGACTTCGTGAGTAACCCGCTCCAGTCCTACAGCTGGACAGGCAGTGGTGAAATATGAACAGCCTGTGTATCATATTCTGTGGTTGTGTGTGTGTGTGTTTGTACACACACACATGCATATGCATGTATATACACGTATGTGTGGAAACCAGAGGTCAACATCAGGTGTCTCTCTACCTATTTTTCTCTCCAACTTATTACTTTGCAAGGTGGGGTCTTTTGTTGAACCTAGAGTTCATGTTTGGAGCTGGACTGGCTGGCCAATGAGCTCAGGAGCTGCCCTCTCTCTGCCCCAGACACCTGTCACCCAGCACTGGGGTTACAGATGCCACCGTGCCCAGCATTTATATGGGTGCTGGGCATCTAAACGCAGGTCTCATGCTTGTAAAGCAGGCTCTTTACCGACCGAGCCATCTCTCCAGCCCCCCACGTGCTCCTGACCACTTAAGAATATTATCTTTCCAGGAAACCACAAAAGGAAAGCAGGACTCAGTGTTCCAAGAAGTTTTGGAGTAAGTGTGGGTCAGTGAGGTGCTTAAACCAGTATCATTGAATTTCCAGAGTACTTTTCAAAGTGGATGATTTCACCACACAAAGCGAGTCTGACAGCACAAGACACAGTGAATTCTGGGATGGAGGGAAACATTCAAAGTCACAAAGCCAGGAGTCCCGAGCACTGCAGCCCCAGGAAGCTGCTGGCCAGAGTCACTAGGATCTGGCTCTGCAGATACATGGTGGAAAATCATCTTTGCTGGTTTACAAACATGGATGGACACCAATCTGCCCACTCTCTTTTGTCAGTGCTGTCGGGTAAGTTTTCCAGATGGTGTTGGAATATGAGAGCCCCGACCTTGGAGGCCCTCTGTGAGGGATTTCGGAGGTGCATGGAGGAGGTACAGAGATACAACTGCTACAAGGGCTTGCCTAACACTCTGAGACCTGCAGCACATGGCTTAGCACTCTTGCTTGAACTTCCTGGAAATGAAAACCAAGAGGCCTTAGGAAAGTCAGCGTCTGTAAACTGGCACTGGTTTCAAAACAAATGGAAAAGGTGAAAACCAGCATTCTTCTGCATGGAGATAACTCAGCAAAGACAGGTTCTACAGGAGTATGGACTAAACTCATTCTACGAATGGGTCCCGAGGGAGCGAGCTCACCACTTGGCTTGTTGCATCTCAGTTCTCCAGCATTCCTATAACTTTGTTTAATCTCGTCAGTTTTAGACAGAATCCTTCTGGGTTAAGGGTAATTAAGCTGTCAAAAGAAATGCTTAATCAAAGTTTCACAAAATGTCCTCATTGGTCAGAATACACTCAAAATTCAAAGAGCAACATGTGTCGTATCGCATAGCCAAGAATTCCACAGGTCCCCTACAGACTCGTTTCCACCATGGTTTTCTGCAAGCTTGGATATGATGGATAAGATAAATAAAAGAAAATGTGAAAAAGACAGGGAAGCACAATAGAGTAGATTGCTTGGCAACCATGAGGAGAACAAACAAACAAATAAACAAGCAAGGACATCGAGGGTGGTGAGTGGGGAGGCAGATGAAGTCCATTAACTTAATATTGACCTAAAAACTCTACTGGTAAAGATACAAAGGAGTAGGTCATACATGGCCCAGGTGCTTCTTAGAGTTGTATGTATATGTTCCTGGGTGTTTTGCCTACATGTGTGTATACGCTTGGTGACCCATAGAGGTCAGAAGAGGGTATTAGAACCCCTGGAACTGGAGTTACAGATGGTTGTGAATTGCTACATGGGTGCTAGAAACCAAACCTAGGTCCTCTTAACTGGTCTTAACATATGCTCTTAACTGCTGAGAAATCTCTCCATGCCCCTGATATATTTTAAGTACACTATCAATAAGAAGTTATAAGCAACCAGAAGAGAACCAAATAAGGCTGATTATAGCAAACACATGCTTGCTTTAGAAATCCACCTTTCACTCACTTGATGAAAATCTCCTCTAAAGAACAGACAGTATACCAAGTAAGACAACACCCCACCTTGAGCCCGAAAGTCCCCACTGATGAGAACCGTCCAGGCTGGTCTTTGTCACTCAGCCTTTGGGTGTGCGGTATAGAGTTGCCCACGAGCTCTTTCCTGCCTCCCAGCCTGAGAATACAGACAATCAAAATGCAGTGAATCAAACACATTTTTTCTCTCCCGTTATGCATGGCCTTTTTCTTGCATTTCAGAAGGTCCCATTACCATGAACTATTTTGCAAATGTAATTTCCATTATGACTGCACAATGCAGATAATATTATTGTTATTATAAAGTACTAAGGATTTCTGGGTAAGATATGCCACTTTTAAGATTCTAATACCAGCTTGTAACAATTGCCGTACCCCAAATCATGCAAATGAGGGTATCGGGATTAACAAGTGCCAGGTTTAATATAGTTGGTTAAATCATGTTTCTTGAGCAAAACAAGTAAGTGATAATGTCTAGTAAACTCTGGAATAATTGAAAACATTT